ATTATAGTTTCCTTTCCACCATGTAGTTGGTGCAAGTTCTGATAATGAATCCCAAATTAATGGATTATTAAAAATTCCATCCCGTGCTTTGTATTGCACTAATTGATTTCAAATCTTTATCGAGTTATATAGATAATATTTTGTAATAAATAATAAAATTGTCATAATATTTGAAGGTAGTAAGTATTGTCTAACAAGCCGTGGATCAAGAAGATAGGCAACTTCTATTACTAGGTGATATAGTTTTTTCTAACAGTTTTCAAAAATTGTATTAAGCTCAATACAGCATGTGAATTGCGAATCTCTATTTAAATATAATGATAAAAAGTTATTGTTATACAATAATACAGTACATATAAAACAATATAATACTTATATTCTAAATTTAGTAAATTATGGTACTATTCTCAAAATTGGAATAATTTTGAACTATCGCTTTCAAAAATAGCAATACCATTGACTAGATACTTTAATATTTCTAGCAAATGATAAGCTTCACACCAATAATTTTCATCATGAATAATCGATACAATATCTTTATCAATTTTACTAGTTTTATGTTGCATAAGCTCTATTGAACTCAAAATTAAAGCAAGCTAGTTTGACAATACTAAATTTAAGCAGATAGCAGCTGATCCCCAACATGTTCTAACTAGTATTTTCAATGTAGTTTTTTTACTTCTGTATTGTGCTATTTGATGTTATTTTAAAATAGCATTAGGTATATAATGTTTATGAAAAAATTTAACAATTTTTTTTGTTTTTAAAATAGTATTTTTAATTCAATTAAGTTTAAGAATATCTCCTACAAGTAGATTTAGTCCATGCACAAGACAACCAATAAAAATTATAAAGAGATATTTCTTCTTAATTATTCTCCAAACACTTCTCATGATGGATGCATTATCCGTAACTACTGCTGATATTTTTTTTCATCAATAGTTTTTATTATATTAATCATATCCAATGCAATATTTTGTGCATTTTGTTGGACTTCGCCAGTAGGTTTTGCAAAAATAAAAACTGGTTGAGGTGTTGCGAATATAAAATTTGTCCAATGATCATGACAATGCTTGACCTATATAAATTAATATTAGTAAAAATTAAATAACAAAAATAAATTATAAACTTAAATAATTATATAATACTATCCATCACTAATTAGAGTTAAAAACTCTGTATTACTAATACATTGATTAATTTTAGTCTTAGTATCTGTATAAATTTGGTCTAGTAAAGATCCTGTTAGCCGCCTTCGAGTTGGTAATTCAAAAGTAGAGTATACACGCTTGAAAAGAATTTTAATCGGTTCCAATTCAGGAAAAGTTAATGGTAAGCCGCAATAAAAAACAGCTTGAGCAAATAATAGTTTCAATTCATCTTGTTGAGGTTCTTGAATTGTTGAAAGATGATCAAAAAGATTCTCAACATTATATGGTTCCAAAGATACATTATTGGAATTATTGCGCTGAAAATTATCTCCAAAATACTGTCTTAAAACATTATTTTGCACCTTTAAGCAATCGTTACGCAAATGTGCTTTACATCGGCCTGCAGCTTCACTTAATTCATAACTACAGTAATTACAGCGAACACGTTTTTTAACAAAGCCATTTACAATTCCTAACTGAGTAAAATGATTCCAAATTTGTTTTTTGGGTGACATTGTAACAATTTATTGTATGTATAACGATAAAATTAAAAACAAAGCAAAAAATTCAAGTAAAACATTTTATTATATATTAATAATATGACGTAATAAGTACATAGCTATTTAATATTAATTAATTAAAAAAACTATTAAATTGATAGCTTATTGATTATTAATTAAAATTATCTTAATCGAATAATTTTACTTCACGCAAGGTTGACATCATCCTTGCGCAAGGTGCATGAAGTTGCGTTGTGAGAATTTTGTTATCTCACGCGAGGTACATCTCTAGTGCTTTCCCTTGGCAGCTGGATTTATCACACGAGTTTGTGCCCGCAGCACCGGCCATCAAAAATGCGATTTACACGAGCAAGACGAAAAATTGTTTTTATTGACGCTAAAATTAAAAGTGATCTTCGATATTACTGCTATCGTTACACTCACAATTCTATATAGTATTTGAAAATCTTTATAATCTTTCACGTGAAATTCCAAATTTCAAAACTTTTACTTCAAAAAATATGAAATTTTATCTTAATTATTCTGGTTTAAACGCTAAAAAACTTAATATAATGGCTTCTTATTAAATACAATTGTTGTCAAACTCGTCTCTAATTAAGGTTGGTGGAAACATTCGACATTGCGGCGTATTTGTGGAATTAAGTAAATATAGTGGAAAGGTGGGTTGAATGGTGGGGGTTAGACGTTAGATTTTGAGGTGCGGTAGTATATCATAAATTAAATCATAATTCTAACTCATATCGACATGTATACAAGAAGTCAAATTAAATTGACTCACATCAGTAGTCAAAATTTTAAATTTTAGGATAGTATAAAAATGCGCCGTAATGATCCCATTCGACCTAAACGCTTATATGAAAAATACGTTACAAATTATAATCTCGCAAAATTTCAGACCTAATTATGAAAAAAAATTTTTTTCTATTTACGGGCTCGTTTTTCTATTGTAAACAATATAAAAAATTCATTTTTTCAGTAGAAATAAACAACCAATAAAAATAAACTTCTGTCTCGCTATTTACACGATGTTCTGTTGTGTGAGAACGTGATCATCCCCAATCAAAGCAATGATTACTGGAAAAAAAACAACTTTCTCGGGAGCATGAAATTGGTGCTTACAACACCACGAAAATCTCTATTTGGAGGTACGCTCTCGTATGTACAATCCTTCTTCTCTTGAAGAAGCTGATTGATAAGTATATATTATTGGGCAGTAATGAAAAATTTTATCGTATGCACAATAATGATGTTATCCTATATTTATATATGACCGTGTGATATTTGCACAACTGATTACGTAATTTCGTGCAAAAAATACATGTCAAAAAAATTTACATGATCATATAAAATATCGGATGATGCCTTTTCTTTAGGAGTGTGGAATTGATTTTTTACAACACCCACGAAAACTGGTTGGTAAATACCAATGCTTCAGCCACACTCCAACTTCCCACCACGATTCACACGACCTACGCCATCTACACTGGTATGTATCGGTTATTTTAAATCGTAGCTCTTGATCTATTATTTGGGTTACAGTATTATATTTATTGATTATTTATCAATATTTAGGATTTAGAGAAAAATTTAATAATTGAAGCACAAACTCAACTTACTGCAAAGGTATATAAAAACATTATTGAATGAACACCTTTTGACAAATTTATTAATATAAAGTATATTGCTAAAGGAGGTTTTGGCACTGTTTTTAAGGCAGTATAGACTGATGGATTCATTGATGGATTTGAATATAATAAGAGTCAATGAAAGAGAAAGCCACAAATAGAGTTGCTTAAAAAGTCTTGATAACTCTAAAAATATGAAACGAGAATTTTTAAATATTTTTATCCTAATTAATAATTTAGATCGAAAATCAACATAAACGTAGGGCTATTCAACAATTGAAATTTATGGAATAATTAAGAATCCAGCCAATAATAATTATGCGGGAAAGTTTTACATAGCAAATATAGCGATTTAGATTGGAATGTCAATGTTACAATCTTATATTACATAGCTGAAGGGGTTAATACAATTCACAAAACCAATTTAGTGCATAAAAATTTTATTCTGGAAATATAATTAACAAAAGTATGTATAGTTCTTATATGACTGATTTTGGATTATGTAAGCTAATGTCTCAAGATTCGAGCACAGAAGAGTAATTAATTACCTACACAACAATCAATATTATAAACATGTGAATGGAAAAAATATCAGATTATTCAGTAGAAATCTGAAGTAATGTTCCTTTGCTTTTTGTCTAAAAGTTAATATTGTATCATAATCCTAGTAAGAACTTGAAGTTATACTTAACTTGTTAATAATAATATTTTTTTATAAATGTGCATATAATTAATATTTTCTGATCGGCCCAAGATAACAAGAATAGAAACAGGAACAGAAGAATAAAAGATAGTCGAAAGTTCCGAACTCATAATTTGGGTATGAATATTTTTATTGTAGCTTTGGATTCAATAAAACAATTTTTAGGCTTGTAAATGCTTCTGAGAAATTAATTTATTCGTATCGTGAAAGGCAGGTATTATAAACTTTAGTGGGTTTTTGTCTTTTTTTTTTTATGTTTAGAAAAAGATAAATTAGCTAACTGATAAATGTATGGGTTTTTAATTCATTTTCTGATACTGTGCATTTTGTATAGTTATCAGAAATGTTCTATGTAACTACTCGACCACCTCCTAATACAATATACAAATTTTCACTTCTTACGAGGTGAGTGAACATTGCATATTTTATTAGGTGGTCGAATAAGTTACACGGAAATCGTGCAGTGCTTACTTCAGACATGTCGGATAACTAGTTATCAGTCGAGTAGATGAATGATCAGTTATCATAACAACGCGACTGGTAATTAGTACATATATATATACTCTGAAGAAAAAAACATGACTCCTGATTGCTTACTCAAACTAGAACATAGCTTGGCGAGGTCTGAATCTCTAGCAGAATCTGAAAATTTCACCACAGGACAGTATTAATATTATTGAGCACAGGTAAGGATCACAGGTTAACTCGTAAATGAGCTCATTAACTGGAAAAAAATTCTTTTACGCTATCATATATTTACGCAATAAAATTAATTCTATTGCAGAAATCTAATTATTTTTGAGATTTAGTGGATTACCGTTTAGCACTATGTCAGCTATATTGATTATTTCATTATGAACAAATTTTTATTAGTAAAAGTAAAATAATTAATCGAATATAATTTTACTTTACTTAATTATAAAGAAAATGCGAAAATTCTAAAGGTGTCGCATAAATATTGCACTTGTTTTTTCAATTTTTTTTTAATTGAAAACTGTTCGTCAGAATTGTTTCAAAGTAACTATGTTTGATTCTTCGGTAAAGTTTTAATTAAGTTTCGATCTATATGTTTTAGATGATTTTTTTTCGTCCTGATTAATGAATTTTCAAGTATTCTATACAATGAATGTTCAAAATCCGCATATTAATAAACATATAGCTTTATTATTTGACTTTATATAAATAACTAGTGAAAATTTCAAGGCAATTACGCGTCTATATAATAAGTTGATACATTTTAAAATATCAAAAATATCGAATTTCATAAGAATTAATAATATTGTATAATGTAATAGCAATAGCCTTATTGTATAGTGATAGATTGAAATTGAAAAATCTGCAATATGATAAAACTGACATAGTTTTGATTAAATAGTTGATACGACACCAAACGTAGAATCCTCGTAAAATAATACCTCCCATGATTAAGAACTAGGTTTTAATCCCACCCTACTGGCATGTTTTGTAAATAAACAAAGCGCGTAAAGACAGAAATTTAGGATTAGGACGTTAGAGCTATAGCAATATATTGTCATCCATTACATGTAAAATTTCGTTCCCATGATTTCTTTCGCACGTGTTCGGAACTCATGTCAGGCTGATGCTCATTCGTTATCTATTAATTTCAAAGGACTTATTCGGACTCAGGCACTAATCGTTAGACCAAATCATCGAAGATAATAGTGAAAAGCATAAGCTTTAGGAAAATAAATTTTTAGGGACGATACCGACACTGCTAACACATAATCTTAAATGCACAGTATTGCCAGCACCATTATTGACACAGCACGACATGCCAACATTAGGTAAAATACACAAATTTTTAAATCTTTCCGGTATGTGATTTTCAAAAATTTTTTTTTTTATTTTTCTTTTTAGGTTCTAAACAAGTAAACGAGCTAAATAGTTCTGATTCCAAGTTTAGTGGGTGGATAGATTCATAGTTTATGATTTCAATAGTGGATAGGTAAGTTCATATTTCATTAGTTGTTAAGTTTTTAATAATTTCAACAATGGGTGGGTTCGTGATATTAACAGTGGGTGATTTAATGAT